ATCTGAAAGCAAGTATGTGAGGGTCATTTGGGACATGATGGGCCACTAAGCAATGATAAAACTGATAGCAGTTAAGGATGTTATTCATGATGAAATAAACCGCCAACATTTCACAACGTAACTTTCCTACTGTTTTCCTAAACAGCAAAAGATCCCTGGAAATTTGGAATTTTTGCTAATTAGCGTAACTTAAACAAATGTAGATCTATATAACATTGCCTGACATTTTTTTCCCATTGTGATTCTGTAGAATAAATATTAAAATATCTTGCAAATAAAATGCTTTGTTCAATGAAAAGGCTGGAAGACCTTTTATGTCTTTGATCATTAGAAAGCTACAGCTTAGAAAAAAATTATTCTAATAAAAACATTGACAGGTACAGAATTTCCTAAAACATTTGATCATTTAACATCATGGTAACTACTAGATCCTGTTAGATGGGATTATGGTTCTAATGTAAAAATTTGGGGCATTGAATTGAATAAAGCATTAGGTAATAACTTCATGCCTCAGTTAACGGTGTAAACACTATTTAACTATACCTTAGCACATGTGGATAAAGCCATAAAAAGGCAAATTATTTTCTTTGTTTGAATTGTTTAGAAAATTAAAGATTCAGTCCAACTTACTGATTAGGCCTCTGCTGGAGTATTATTTGCAGTGTTGGCCTCCTAAGTGGTCAGTCAAAGGTGGCTATGTAAACTTATTTGGATAACACCAGGAATGAAGGAATACAATTATGATGAAATTTATCTGTGTTTATTAAATGGAGCAGAGAGGATAAGAGGATCAAAAACAGCATTCAAACGTTTTAAGAGAATAAATTCTGTAGTGTAAACTTATTTTCATCATGAAATGAATCAGTAACAAGAGATAATAAATTTAGGATTAGAATAAGAGCATCAATGGGTGTTTAAAATAAGTTTTCATATGAAGGTGAATTAGAGAATAGTATGCTGTTAAAACTGAGACAACAATAGCATCTCAAACAGGATTAGATAAACATTTTATAAAGAAGGGTATTGAAGGATAAGATTAACAGGTATATGGACAACAATGTGGAGCTACAACTGTCACGGATATGATGGGTTGAATAACATTCTGTGTCAGTGGTTTTCATGGTGTGTCATAAGAACTGCTCAAGCATGCTATCAAATTTTGTACAAAGATAATGAAAATCAAGGTAAAACAGACATTGTTTCATCTTCAACGATATTCAATCCATCCAAAATTACAACTCATAAAACTTGTGGAAATTAATCATCAAATTAAAAGTAAGGTATTGGTATTTTGATTCTAAAATATGAACATTCTAAACACCAAAACTGACTAAAATTAAAATGAAATGATAGCTTTTACTAAAGACCACAGAAACCAGGCAACAGCGATTGTGTTCTTTTATGTTGATAGTAAAAAACAAGCTAACATTAGCACAATTTCTTGTGAAATCTCTTTTATTTCTCGAACAAAGAAGAAATGGATAAGTTTGTTCCCGAAAGAGATGACTCCTTCGCTAATGCAGTTGTTGATGAAACATCTAAACCGAAAGGAAAAGCAATAAGAACGTTAGCTTGCCCAGGTTTCCCTCTAACCCTCTAAACTGGAATTTACTCTATGTTTTTGCTCTGATCCATTGAATTTTAATGATGTATCAGTTCAATTATTTAATTAAAAGTGTATTTTAAAAAATATTGTTACAAATAGGAAATTCCTTCTGTAAAATTCAGACCCCAAATCAAGTGCAGTATGTGCAACAGATTTAGGTCCATGAACAGTTAGAAATAGTTGAGTTGAACAGATTTTGAATATGTGTCTGTGTTTGTACTTGAGGATGATGGATTTGAAACATTTGATCCTTCTTTAGCTTGTTGTGCGCACTATGTTGCAAACCTCTCCTGTAAGACCAAAACCAAAGTAAATGCAAGTAAATGTGATGTTGAAGTGCAATCAGGAACCACTGGGTCTATGCTGTAATTTCAAGGATTATTGGCCCAGAAATTACTGTTGGCGATATTAATTCATGCACTCATATAACCAAAGAAAACCTGATAATTTGTTTTCCTTCCATACACAGGGCAAACTCTTCAAGTATGTCGGTTATTTAATTTATTTTTTGCAGCTGCACACAGGTAATACCTTAAAGAGGCTAACTTTGCATGGTCTGTCCAGGAATATTCAGCTATTATGCCAGCCACACGTTTGAGGGAGCATTGCATACAACATAACTTTGTCTGCTACTTTTACTGAAATATTGATTTATTTTAGTTTAAATGGACAGCAACATCTCAGCTTTTAATTTTCCAGGCATATTATTCTATCATAAGCAATTTCCAAACAGCTTGATGACAGATGGATCCATTTGAGGAATTCTTTTTTGTTCAAAATAAATTTTCTTTCCTTTTTTTTAAATGGAGACACTGATTTTTTCTGAGCTGGGTTCCTCTACTCTCTCACCTTAAAAGCCAATCTTCACATGAGCCCAAGCAGTAAGTGAGGCACAACTTAATCATGCAGAGCATCAGAGCGGAACCTGATGCTTTTCCCATCAATTTTCACAGTTCACAGAATCACATATTTGTTACAGCACAGAGGGAGCCACTTGGCCTGTTGGGTCTGTATTGGGCTTCTGAATGATCAATTCACCTGTAGTCATAACTCCCTCCTCCACATAACCTCGTTCATTCTTCCATTTCAGACAATAATCTAATTCCTTCCTGAATGCCACAATTAAACCTACCTCTACCATTCCCTCTGGCAGCACGTTCCAAATCTTAGCCACTTGCTGACAAAAAAAGGATTTTTACACGTCTCCATTGCTTCTTCTGCCAATCACCCTAATTCTGTGACCATTTCTTCTCCACCCTTCCATCAATTTTCCTAGTTATCTGATCAGCCCTCTCCTGATCTTCAATGCTTCTATGAAATCTTCCTTCGAGAAAAGCAGTCTGTGTTCCAAATCCTCAAATCTTTCTACATAACTGAAATTCCTCAACCCTGGAACCTACCTAGTGAATCATTTAGGCACTTTCTCTAATGCTGGATCATTTGATGAGATGTCTCGTTTCTAATGATCAAGAGCTGTTTCATTTCTCTTGCTCTGTCTTAAGGGCAATGAATCACTTCTAGCAATCTAAGTTATGTCCCACTTTTTGTTTTGAGATTAGTTAATTCAGCTTGGGAACACAGCACCAGGACTTAGAACTTACATCTCTTCGAGCCTGGATTCAGTTAGATCGTCGCTGATCTGTGCCTCAAATTAATTTGCTTGCTTGTGTCCCATATCTCCTTATACTTTTACTGATTAAAATCTGTCAATCTCCAAGCCAAACCTGGAACTTTACATACTAAAATGGTGACTTAAAAGTAAGTGAATAATTCTAAAGGAATTGTGGAGTATTATATAAATTCTGCTTAAACAGGATCTCTAGAATTCTGCAGCATTTTAAACACTAATTTCTGTAAAAGAAAAGCCCAAACAAAATTAGAAGACTCAGAAAACTGTGTGGATGGGTGTAGGAAGCTATAACATAAAATGGGCAGGTTAAGCAAGTGAACAAAACTGTAGTAGATGAAATTCAATATGGGAAAATGCAAGAACCTAGATTCTGAGAAGGAAAATTGGAATTTTCTGCTTGGTGACAGTCTAGGTAGGATTTGTGGAGGAGCTAAAGGATATGGGTTTCCACACACACAAGCCTCTACAGCTACTGAAGATGTGCGAAAAGAAATCAAAAAGACAAATGGAGTATTGACCTCCATCTCAAGAGGATTGTAATACAAAATAGGAGGAAGTCATGATTGAGTTACGTAGAGCACTGACACTAGATTCCATCTGTTCAGCTTTCGGCACCATTTCAGGAAGCAATATACCGTAGTCCTCAATTGTGTTACTCCAATTAATGTTTTCCATTTTAATGTTGGTTAATCTTATGGTCTGTTTCCTTGAAATGCACCTTTTCTTCCGGGTTAATGTCATTTTACATGTAACTGCACCAGTATGAAGCAAATAGATCCAGATTAAAGTAACATTTAAACACTAATTATTTTGAAATGCTGTATAGAAATAATAAATTTGCTTTACAAACACCAATAAATTGATTCTAATAGCACATTTTCCATTTAGGATAGTTTGTAAATTAAGGAAGTTCCCTATTTTTGTTTGAAGAAGGTTACGACACGTGTGCCCAGAATCATGCTGTAGCCACACATGCTGTCTTTAAAACATACCATTGCTGCACTCTCCTGCTCACTGGCCCTTCTCCTGTTCTCTCCTACAGTCACCTCACCTCTTGTTTTCTTGCTCACTCCCTCCCACTGGCCACCACTTTCTCAAGTCCTTGACCATAATGAGAATCCGACCCACATGCTGCAACGGTTAGAGAGAAGGAACCAGGAATGTGAGACAGGGAGAAATGCAAGTGGGATGAAGCTGGAGAAGGAAATAGAGAGTGGGAGGATCGCAAGAAGAAAGGGAAGTGGGAGGCTGGAAATGGGCAGTGAGCAGATGTTGAGTAGAAAGAATTGGTATATTAATTAAGAGTTAATAAGAGCATTTTTAGGTCGAGCAAGCTCACTGTAGCCAATAAATTTTTCCAAAATAAAACTTACTGGCCAGGAACATAATCCACTCAGATTACATGATTTCTTATTGGAAAGTCATTCCCGTGCAGCACATTTTTGTTTGGCACACTATATTTTAGGAACATGTCAGCAATGCCAAACAAAGAGTCGCTAAATCTCCAACGACTGACAGATTGTGTTAAACATACACTGAATGGAGTCTAAATGGTTGATCTGAGCTAAAGGAGATTGCATCTTATTAACAACTTCTCCATTCCTCAAGCAGACTCTACAGAACTTGACCTTCCATATTGCTAAACAAATAATTATCTCCTTGTTATGTGTAGTTATGTTCAGTATTAAATCTCAAAAAGTAGCAGATTCTAATTAAAGGATACTTTAACTTAATATGTCTTAATCTATTAAGAGTTGTTCTTACCAGATGGCGATATATGCTTCCACATTATAGTGGGCTCTGGTTTTCCACTTGCTAGACAATACAGAGTGATATTGCTGAATTCATTCACGACAGAGCTAGTAGAGATGTCAAAAATTTTTGGAGGAACTGGAAAACAAAAGGGAAGGCCATTAGATAACATTTACTGGTTATTGTTACAATAAAATTTTAGCTGATCCTTATAATTATAGGACTAAGCAGCCAATAAACGTTATTCAGGATTATGATTAGATACCAGTAGCTAGGATTCTAAAGACTGGCCCTGTTCTCATGTTGATATAACCAAACAGCTTCTCAGATTTCTAACCTCATTTAGCTGAAAAGGGAGTCTTCGGATTTGTTATTTCACTTGAGGTCAATTTCACAGACCTCCTGAAAAAATAATGGACTATATTGGGTGGCACTGGAAACTGGAGGAGCAATTAGACAAGATTTTAAAAAGGAAAATGAGAGCTTAATTACAAATAAAACTAAAAAGTAAACCTAAAATTATAAAGATGAAAGAGAAAGGGAGAAAATGTTAATGAAAATATCCAAGAGAAGTACAATGTTTAATAGCCCTTTCTAAAAAAATTTAGGAAAGAAAAATTCCAAATCAGATTTATTGCTATGTTTGTATCAGCCTTATCCTCTCAAATTGTTCTTAACTCTGTTTCATCTCTTCTAACTAGTTTTTATTCCCATTTGCTAACCTTCTCTTAATTCACTACTAATATCTCTTGATCTTCAATAATTTTCTGAATTGGACCTTGTCAAAAGCTTTTCGGAAGTTCACATACAACTACATCTTTTACAGTTCACCAGCTTTCACATCTGACGTTTCTTCTAAGAATTCCGATGTCGAGCACAGTCTTTCTTCCAGAAATCCATGTTCGCTGCTCTAACTAATTTTTCTTCATCTAAATATTTAGTAATTTCATCTTTGATTAAATGTTCAAAACTTTCCTCACTACAGATAAACTGGCCACCACGTAATTACATAAACTAATGCGGATGCGGGAAGTCTGAAATAAAAACAGAAAATGCTGTAAACACCTACCAGGTCTGGCTATATCTATGGAGAGAGAAACAGGAGGAGAAATTCTCCCCATTCATGACCAATGTGGTCAATGATGTGTCATGGGAAAAGAATGGTGAGATTGGAACAATGGGATTCTTGTTGTTGAGCTGAAGAAGACTTAGCTTTCATTAAAGGTTTTTGATGGTGAAATGACATAATCTCACCAGTGAGCAGTGAGAGGTCTACTTGTATACCTTAACATTTCATTATTATCTAATCTTACCTCACTTCACATACATACAGCACTAATTTCTGACTTGAGAAAGTCTGAGCAGTTGGCTCGTGGCTGCTACAGGCCTCCATCATGGCCAGCATTCCCGAACATCTCAGAGTTCTCGTGGGGGGAGGGGTGTCACCACAGTTGGTCAATTGCATCATCCATTCTCCCAGCAATTTGGGCATGGTCAGTTGGCCACTTGGAGAGTTCACAATCAGAAGTTTTGTATCATTACAGTTTGGGGAGTGGACCATACTCAGTTGGGCAGTTCCAGTTCAACCAGTTGGGGCTTAGTAACAAATCAGTCAGGGGCCTGGTTACTTCTCAGTCAGGGCTGTCATTCTAAATCAGTCCAGGACGTAGTCCATAGTCAATCTTGAGATCTATTGATTGGAAGTTCTCTGAGGCCACAGCTGTTTTGGGGCAATTGGAGACGTGAATTGGGGGGATTGGAGGCAGAGTGCTGAGATGCAGTGGGCACAAGAATTGTTAAAGGAGACAACTAACATATCAATGTGGGAGACGGCCTAGCATTGGAGAGAATGGTTTACTACAGGAGGGAGTATCATAAATGACCACCACCAGCCTGGCTCCAATGGTGGGGGGATTACAATGCATCACAGTATTTGATATAAACATGCTGTAGGCCTGGGGCTCATGGGGTAAAGTCAGAGATGGACACTTAAATAAAAGATTTTGGTGGGAATGTGCAGAAGCTCAAGATTAAGCCTGTAACTCACAGTAATGCGTGACCCACATTGCCTTCTACCCTCATCTAAATCACGAATATGCAGTGAGAATGAAAAATGGATGCCATCACACTGAAAGATGCCACAGTCATTTTTATTTCTGCTTGAGGACATGGGCTGTACTTATATGTGATGTGAGGTCCTTCAAGGGGTAATTGCATTAATTGGGCAATTATACACAACAGACTGAAGACAACTGCATTTGTAGAATTCTACAGAACTGCATGCATTGTCTGACTATGTCCAACACAAATCCTGGCCATCTCATCCATATCACTGGTTATTACAGATTGATCACAGTCATCTCTGTGAAGCGAAATTAACCACAGGTGGCCTTTAAATGTCATCTTTAGGCTGAAATTCACAAAGACAGTCCAAAGAATGACAAGCTGCACAAAGGCATGGAGCTGCTTTCCTCACATCTTGCACTATAAGAGGTTGCCAGCATATTGTCATAAGCAATGCTGTCATTCTTGGGTAATGTGGAAGCTGGAGTGGGGAGTGACGAAGTTTCAGTAATCCCTTTAAACTAACAATTTCTTATGTTTGTACAACACGGCTGGTGCTGCATACTTTGGAATAAAGTACCCTATATCAAAAGTCCATGTAGACGTTTTGTATCATTGCAGTCTGGGGAGTGGACCATGCTCAGTTGAGCAGTTCCAGTTCAATTCCATGGCCCTCCACAAGGTCTATGGTAAACTGCTGTTTGTGTGTGCTGCAACTGCTGACTCTTTTCTAAGGAGTTGGCTTTGTTCTGATACTCCCCACATAGGCTCATTAGAACCAACACTGATGGATTCAGACACAGCAGGTACTATCCTGTGGCTACTGCACAATGATGGAACAGAGAAACTGTCAGCAAGCACAAGATCAGAAAGAATGTCCACTGTTTGCCAAACAGCTTCCACATGAAGAGGCCAGAACTGAAGTTTCCCTTAGGTTGTGGAGGTGGTACAGGAGGCCCAGAGCCTATCGCCATTGATTTTCTTCACATGAGCAAGTTACAGTGTCACTGCTGAATAAGAATGGGCCAGGACACTGTCATCATCTGATTGAGCAGGACCTGCGATCTGAAGGAGTGGGGAGATTATCCTGTCCCATGGGGCACTAAGGTAATAGCTGCATTCATTTTTCTGCAACTGGCTGTTTTCAAGAATTGATGGGGGACCTGTATGGGATTTCTCACTCTTCAATTCACAATCATATCGAAACTGTTACTGATGTAACTTGCACCAGATCACACCATTTTATCTTGCTTCACTGTGACAAGGTCAGTGCTGCAGCTTTGGCTGTAGGGTTTGTCAATATAGCTCCCTCCCTCAGGTGCAGGGCACTATAGCCTGTATACACATTGCACTAAGTGTAACTTTTTATAATATGAATTTTGTTGAAAAGAAAAAAACAGATCCATTTGGTTAGTGTACAAGTCATTTGTGATCATCCTGGAGGTCTATGCCATGTATCCTGGGAGGTTTCACGATGCCTGTATCCTTGATAACCCTCAGGTTCCTGCTTCATTTCTAGGAACGGATGCCTTACAAGGGTGGCTACTGGAAGACAAGGGCTACTCTCTGTAACCATGCCTGATGACTCCATTATGAAACTCTCTGTCTGAGGCAGAGATATATAATGGAGTAGACAGTAGTTCTTCTGAAGATGCATGGATCGGTCTGGGAGGGCCTTGCAGTACAATCCAGACAGAATCCTGCTGTAGAATCCTTCCATACTGTGTTCTGCACAATTACAGTGGACAAAAATTAGATATGGTGGACTCAAAAGCCTATTTCGGAGAATGGCAGCAGTTGTATGAGGCTAGTGAGGAGGAGGTGGACCATCACCTTCACCATGACAGAGCACAGCAGTGTCAGGCACAAAAGGACTTAATTGACACCCACTTCCAACTCTGACGTGAATGAAGTCATCATCTGCTGTAAATTTGTTGTTAGTTAAAAGGTAAGGAGTCCCTGTTTATTCCCAGAAGCAAATGCAGCTTTTTTGTTTGTTTTTCCTTCACATTTCTCCAGTTATTTAACATTAAGACCTGTTTGTTATGTGACGATCTCACATTCAACTCTGACAAGATGCCAGGCAATGCTGGGCATTAGGGAAGAAGTAGCACTGCAACAGACAGGACTCTAACATCGTTTGGTGCTAAGGATGGGTAGCTGCGGTTATAATAACATTCACTTGGACAACTAACGGTGTAAAGTGGCAATACATTTATGAATGTGGATTTTCTAATTTCACCCATGCCATACATGTGCCCGCAGAAGCTTTCGTTTATCATTTCTCTCCTGCTATATATACAGAAAAGGGCTAGTCATAGCTGAAAGCATTTGACCAGGTGCTTAGCTGGGCTTAACCTATTGTGCTGGCAACGGAAATTCTGGAAGGTTCCGGCAGCTAATGAATGCAAGATAATATGAACACAGCACTGCAGAGATGTGGTGCATAAATGTTGATTTGACCAGCAAGAAATGTGGGAATTAATTCATTAGAGCTCATGGAGAGAAACCCTCCACAAGATTCCCTGAAATTGATACTTTTGCTGTGCTTTGGTACAATTCTGGTTTTCAGTTTGAAGCTTTATGTCAATGGTTTAGCTTTCCCTTCCTATTTCACTTTCTCATTTGAAAGTGTGTATTATGTCGGTCACTCTCCAGTCCCCCAGCACACAATGGGTGGAACTTAATGCCATCTGGCAAATTTATTTGAAGGTGGGCGGGCATTTATTTGAGACGGAGGGTGCAGAGTCCAACCGCATTACCTTCCCACTTCTACCCTGAGTAAGATTTGTGGATGACCTTCCCGTCCCACCACCAATTGAGGCTCTTTGGTTACCTCCTTCCACTTAAGTAGTATTCAACTAGCAGTGGGTAGGCCTGTCGCCATGCAGGAAGCCCCAGGAGCAGAGCCTGCATTGTTTGCTTGCAGTCTCCAGAGGAAGCCTTCATAGTTGGGTGGCACAGTAGTTCAGTGGTTAGCATGACTGTCTCATGGTGTCAGGGATCCAGGTTCGATTCCAGCCTCAGCTGACTGTCTGTGTGGAGTCTGCACATTCTCCTCGTGACTGTGCATG